TCACGGCCTTGCACACCCGCTGCCTGTGTGAGCCCCGCTGGGTTGTGAGTGAGGGCTCACAACAGCATTTTCCTGGGTTTCAGAGCAGGCACTACCTGAGGCTGGTTGCTCCCAGCTTTGCTAGCTCAGCTAACTCAGCTAACGCCGTGCTGCGTACACAAGTGGGTGTTGCTGGCAAGCAGGAGAGGTCCTGAGCGCTCTCCAGGGCTGTGTGGAGGAGGTGGCAGGCCGGTTTGGGATCCCAGCCTCTGGAATTGCTCCTCTCACACCTCCACCTGCCTCAGGGCTGGTTTTGCCCCAGGAGGATGAAGCTGCCAAAATCTCAGCACGGTGAGCAGGACCCTCTGTACCCACTGCTGCATCCTGGTGAGTGGGATCCCCCCAAACACCCCAGGGTGATACCCAGCTTGGGGAAAACATGTGGTGGCATCGTTTTGAAGTTGTGGTGCTGCCTGCCAGAGCCCACCTCCACGGGCCCACTGGGACTTCACAGAAGTCCCACATGGGCCCTCACGCATGCGCTGATGGGGGCAACCAGCCGCAGATGGTGCTTCAGGTCTCCATCCCTCCACCTCTTCGTTTCCTTTCCCAGCTGGTCACCACTGCCACATCCAACCCCCCAATGGCTCTTTTGAGCTTAAGTCTATTTTTGCACCATCCACATGCAAAGTTCCCAGTTTACTCAACTGGTTTTCAAATATTCATTGTCCCTTTTTTATTAAAGGCTTTTGGGTGTGCATTGCACTAGTCCTACTCAGTCCCTGAACCCCACGGGGGGACACGCACTGGGGGGAAGCTCACTCACCTTTGCAGGCTGTGGCTGAAGCTCGGAGTCACCAGGATTTTAAACGTTATATTACAAAAAAAAAAAAACAAACCAACCAAAACCCTCAAATTTGGGAGCTCAGCCTGAGCTCCTGCTGCCGAGACCTTCCACCGGGAGGGGAATGAGGGTGAATTCAGGCCGGGGGGCAGGGTCTCCCCTCCCGCCCTCAGGCTGGGCCCCTGCCCCAAGGGTAACTGGGTCCCCCAAAAAGGGAGGGGGGCG